GATTTTCCCATGGTATGGAATGATTTGCTGTGTGATGTTGTGACGCATACAGTATCCCCCCCAAATCCTATAAAATCTCACTGAACAAAGGACCGGGACTCAATCCCTGGGATCGCTGCATCGGGAACGGTTGTGAGTCCAGGCTCGAGCTTGCATTGGATTCGGCTCCTAGAGGTCTATTGGGGTCCCACAAATCTGGCATTGCACTTGACCTTCACCATTGCTTTTCTCTTTGGTTGGAATATTGGAACAAGTGGCCAAACATGGTCTGTTGGGACCACCAGGGACTTTATCCAAAGACTCAACACATTCAGCTAATGGGGTTGGTTCTTCCCCTTCCTCAAATCTATTCTCAGACCCAGATCACAAGGAACTGGGTCTTACTCCCTTCCTAGCCCAGGTTCTGACCTGAGTTCCAACTCCTCAGGCTCCAACACTGACTTTGGATTTTACTTAGGTTATGACCTCTTATACTCAGAGACACTCACAGCTTGGAATGTGGCACCTGCTAGAGCAGCTTCCATCTCTGAAGCCACTTCAACCCCTTGCCTTGACCATCCAAGATGCTTTGACCTTTGTGTTGACAGTCACTGGCAAACCCTCTCTGGGCTACGGGCAGGCCCTTGTACTGCCCCAGTTCTGCTTCCCAGTCCAACTGACTTCCAACTCCAGGCCCTGGACTTCAATGCCTCCAATAGGCATTTTACCTAGGAATCTTCCCACAGCCCGGGCTTCATTCCTTAGAAGAATGAAGGCTAATTTCTGGTAAGCACAGTGAGGTTATCAGCATGTTAGAAGGTAGCTTCTAGACTTTGTTATTAACAAGACAGCTCCTTGGAAGTTGCTCTTGACAGAGTTCCACAAGGTTTTTCCCCTCCCTAACACTTTAACTTCCTCTCCCTTCACTGGCATTTTAAATTCTAAAGAGGCCTTGACTCTTGATTTAATTGCTGAAATGGCCCAATAATAGACAGAACTACCATCTCCACCCAACTGAAGGTTACCTGCAGAAATTCTAGGAAGTCTCTTTTGAGTTCTGGCTGCTTGTGGCCAGGTGATGGAGTCATCATTCAGGAGCATGTGGCTTGATCCTTTGGCTAATTGGCCTGAAATTTGTTTGCAGCTTCTCAATCCTCTTTGGAGTTCAATAAATACAAGAAACACTTTGCAATGATGATCAAATGCATGCTTACCTACAGGACTCACAATTTATTGGGAGAATATGCCTGGTTCACAGTCTAACACACATACTCTCTCTCTCTCTCTCTCTCTCTCTCTCTCTGACACACACACACACACACACACACACACACGACAAAGATATGCTATGTGACTTAAGTGGCAGCCTTTATTTACCTTTCCTGGGGTTCACCTAGTAGCATAGTTCTTAGGTATAGCTTTTGTGAACCCATACACTTGACTTAGCTACCATTGCTATTGCCTGGTTTCAAATGTAATGTGCATATGAATTGTCCTTGTAGAAATTAGAAGTGATTGTAAGGAATGGAAAGCACAAAAGTCTAAACATTTCTATCCCATTCCTCTTCTCAAAGGGTAAAATCTGGGTCTTTATACCTATACTTTTCTATGCATTTACATGCAGTCAAAGATATTTCCAAACATAACTTTTTCATAAATACTCTCTTGAGAAGATTTTATGCAGATACATTTTTCGCCCAACATGTCAGAGAATCTTAATGTGTTAGTGCATGTAGATTCATGTTATTCTTTTCAACAGCTCCACACTTTTTCAATGTATGGATAAAACCCAAGTTAGCTAGAATTCTCTTGATGGACCCCTAGGTTGTTACTGAGAAAAGAATATGCGGGCTGAGGATGTGGCTCAGTGGTAGTGCATCTGCCTGGCATGTATGAAGCCCTGGGTTTGATCCTTAGCAACACAAATAAATAAAGATATACAACAGTGCTTCCTGCCTTGTGAAAAAATGAATAAAAATTATTAAAATAAATTAATATGCACAGAAGTTTCATCAACTTATATTCTCATAAGCAATATCTTAATCAACTTATATTCTCATAAGCAATAGCTTGTGTTCCCATACCGTATCCCATAAGATCAACAAAGTGTTTGATTTGTGTCATTGATATCTTACTTTGGATTACTTTTGAATTTATTGCTTAATATAATTATATTTCCTTTTAGGGTGAACTTTTCCTTTAGATTGATGGGATTTTCTTCTTGACTTATAGGAACCACTCATATACTAAAGAAAATGGCACTTTTCCTATTTTTATAGTTACATGTCATTACCCATTTTTTGCTGGTTGTCATGGCTTATGTTTTGTGAATGAACTACTATTTTTCTTTCATGAGTTCTAAATTTTGTGTCATAAAGGACAGACTTTTCCCTTTTTGTAATTATAATTTTCCACTCCTTTTTTCATTAATAATAGACCCATCTGGAATTTACTTCAATGTATTACAAGAAGTTAAGAATCGGTAATGAGGGCTTGCTGTCAAACAAAAATCATGCTATCCTTTCCAAACTACAAAATTTCAATTGAATGATGGCTGCCCAACCAAGGAGTATATTTTCTCGTCTTTTGTTTCCTTGCATGACCATGTGACCAGTAATTGGCTATAGAATATAAATGGATGTGATGTGTCACTTCCAGAGAAAACTTTCAAGACATTTTCTGTCCATCCCACCACCCAGACACAGGCAACAAAAGGGCCAATTTGAAATGTGGTATCCTAAGTTGGCAGGAACCTGGGTTCCTGAATCACTTGGATAAGACAGCTATATAGTGACTATTACATGAGTAAGAAACATATTCTATTGTGTAAGCCAGTTAAATGTTGGGGCTAATTTATTAAAATGGCTAGTATGGCTTTACTAATAAAGGATCCAATGAAAAGGATCCAATAGCTGTCCCTAACCATCCATATCTGAGCATACTTCATTTTATTCAGTGAGCTCTCTGCCCACTGACATTGAAAGGGATGCGTGAGTTAAATAGCATTTGTAAAGAATCTGCAGGAAAGGTGCTTTGTCAGTGGGTGATTTTTCAGAGTTAATCACTGCTAAAGTGAGAATTCTATTCAGTGCACCTGTGTCATCCACATCACTAGACTAGACCATGGCAGAATCTGAAAGGAAAAAGCAGAGGTACATCAAACCAGTCCAGGCTTATTTTAATTTCTACTGTTATTAATAACACTTCATTTAAAAATAAGACATCCAGGACAAATTTTAACTAAACGTTTTACTGGGGCAATAGTAGAAAACCAGTTTTGGCTGCTGGCGACAGAGTTAACAATTATATTTAAAAATTACCAATGACCTAGACTAAGCAGAAGAGCCCTTCATTTATGAGTATGAATGGATATAAAAGATTGCAAACGAGGAATATAGAAGGGAGGAGAAAATGATTAAATATGTATAATACTTGAAGAACTGAACTACAAATATTAGGGGATTAAGCCTGATGTTGAATTTTAAAATATTTAAGCATAGCAACAGACATTTTTTTTCTTTTTTTTTTTTTTTTTTTTTTTCAACAAAGTAATTTATTTCTTCCTGAGAGACTAAATTCAGTACAATATTTGTTTTCAGAACATCCAACATGTCTTAATGTCAAACTTAACCACTTTCTGTGCAGTGACTGTGGTGGGGTGATCTGTTTTATTTTACTGCCTTCAATGTAATTGATTTGGGTAGTTCTAAGGCATATCAGTGATCAAAATGTTTCTCCCTACAGTTACTCCTGCATTCTCAATCAGTTTCTTCCGCACATCATCTAAAGAAAATTTATTTTTTTTTTTAAATATCAGGATTTCTAAAACTAAGGAAAACACCAACATTTAAAACATCAGTATTTCTAGTCAAGGATATAATCAATTAAATTTCATCAGTACATTATATTATAGTTTAACTCATGTAGAAATGTTAAAACCCAAGATCTCCTGAGTCACATAATACCAACAATTCATATTAATGAATAAATTACTTGGGTTCCATATAAAGATATTAAGTGATGAGAAACAGAAAAAGCCAACCTTTCAAGTGCTCTTTTTTAAAAAAATACAGAAGCAAACTAAAGAACACAACCACACAAAATATACACTAACCAATTGCAAACTAAACTAGTTAAAGATTAACCTTAAAAAAATACATTTTAGAACTTCGTGATACCCTCATAAAAGACAGCAAACTAAGGGTATTAAAACAATAGTCATTATTTTAGTTACTGTGCATCAAGTCTAAAAGATCCAGATAAAGGAAATGTTTTGTTTTGATTCAATTTAAATACTTTAAAATTGGAAATATTTAATAATTGATAGTAAAATTAAATTTTAAAGAATATACACAGATGATTTGAACAGGTTTTATATTCAGTAACTTGCATGGTTTTTACACTGGCACTTTTATCACTAATTTAGGAGAATCAGATGCATTTCCCTCCATATAGACACTAAGATTTCAAATTTATAAATATGGTAGTTATTTTAAATTTACATGAATATTGGGTTTGTCCCTGTTTTCCTTTGTTTCCTAGGTATTATCCAGTTTTGTAAGGAAAACACTTTTATATCACAATCAAAACTTGTCTTGGTTACTAGACTGTATCCTTAATTGGGTTACAGTCATTTAAAGATTCATTATTTGGAATTATACTAAGGCAGAACTAAATGAAACTTATCTCCTAGAAGAATTTCATATTTGCATTTACCTGCACTGCAGAATGGGATTAAGCAATATTTTAGCTGTTAGGAAATATTTTACTTAAATAAACTTGTTATCTTTGACTACTCAGAACTCCTAGAGTAGTCAACTTTACCTTTGAATTTTCCTTAAACTGTATTCTCATTCATTCCAAGTAGTTTTTTAAATAGAAGTTAGACTTCATTAAGGTATTAACTTTAAATCTGAAAGAAAATTAACGTACTGAAAATTTGACAAGTTCATTAAAAATTTTAGCATGTCTTGATACATTTACTTATCAGCTTTTTAATTCTTCCTTCTGCTGGCATTTCCTTAATGTTTGTTTGTTTCACCTCTCTGGTTCATTGGATTGCTACTATTTATGCTTTCATGAACTTTTTCTTCACAGTTTACTATATCTTGGAAAGCCTTTTCCACATCTGCTTGACCAGCCATACTTGCTGTTTTTGGCAAGGTCATCTGCAGTGCGCACCATAGAGTAGTGCGTGCTTTCCGAGTAGCCACACACATCTCTTTAATTGCTGACGCAAGGGCAAAAACATCTCTTTCATCTTGGCATCTAGGCACTCCTTGCCTTTGCCGATTTGAAGCATTAACAATTTCATCCTTTCTACGTGACTGTACAATGTGAATGGATTCCAAGTGTCTAACAAGAGCAGTAGAGATATTGGCATGAAGGGGAGAGCTTTGAAGACGTTCCATTTTGCCTAGTAAAGTCACAACTCTGGCTTGTTCTCGAAGTTCATTCACAATTAAGCGATCAACTCTAGATGGGTTGGAGGTCAGCCTTGGAAATGGAGTATTGTTAGTACTGGATACTTTTTTCCCTGGATAATTCTTGGCAAGAGCTAATTCAGTCTTTTTTCTCTCCTTTTCTAATGCTCTCCATTGTTCATAGCACTCTTCTAGACGAATACGAAGTTCACTGGCTGGTCCACTTCGAGTTTTAATTGGTCTTTGAAATCCAAAAGTTGGCACGAAACCAGAAAAGGAATTATCACCATACATCATATCATTAAAATAAGGGTATAAATGGCTTAAGTCATCATAAGAAAACAAATCATAGGAATCCAACAGTGGAACAACTGAATGGCCAAATGGGTGGGTGGATCTTAGGGGAAACCCATTTGAACCAAGTTGTTGAAAACCCTGATTATGCCTTAAATCTCCCATCATATAATTATTAGAAAAGCATGATGCCTGTGTGCGATTCACACGGCTATTAATATTGCTGTCTCCACTTCCTTGTCGGTGGCTATTAAAATGACCCTGTGACTCCAACAGATCTTGATATTTGTTTTGAGATAAGCCATCTAAATGCTTCGGACCTTCCTCAGGATCATAATGTCCACTCTGGGGCTTGGCTTGAAAATTATGTTTGTTTACATTTTCAATGATCCCATACTGCTGAGCTGAATAATTATCACAAAATCCATTTGGCTGCTTTATTTTTTTATCTGTAACCGATTCAAAGAGATTTTCTTCTCCAGTCTTTGTCAGTCCTTCCATGTGATTGACAGATTGAATTCTTTCTGCACCATTGTAACTGAAATCAAAACTAGAAAATGCTGAAGGGTTTTCTTGGCAATACTTCTGAAATAAATTGCTATTTGGGGTTAAATTTGTGGATGATAGTTGGGGGAAATCTGAAGAATGGTTAGAACCTTTTGAAGCTGCACTTAAATGACTATTTAATTTCATCAAGTTACCTTGATTTCTATAAGGAACAGGAGTGTTATTTTTTGTTTGAATATTCATCCAAGTTGGTCTGTTTAAATTGATACCTCCTGAAGATGTTGCTGAGTTTGATAATAAATTCACTGATTTAAAATACTCAGAATTTGGGGGATCAGGCTTATCGAATTGTTGCTTTTCTGTGACATTAGCAAAATCATTATTAGCTGGACAAGCTGTGTGAGGTTTTAGTCCATACTCTGATTTTAAGCCAAAATCAGCTGTGAATGCTGCTGCTTCCTTTGCAAACTGTTTTTCAGTTAAATGTGGTGTGGTTTTTGGAAATGTGAAATTCTGCTGGTCAGGCATTGTCTCCTCCATTTTTTTCTGATTTGCTGGTTTAACCTGAAATAACTTTGTATAGGCATCTGCTTCTACAGTTGGTGTTTCGGGTGTGCCACTGGCTAATTTTTTACCATCCTGGACACTAAAATTTGAACATTTATTAAGCTTAGCCTTGTTAGGATGAGCATATTCTGGGTATCTACAATAATCTGCATTTTCATTGTATCTATTAAATTGGGAAAGAAATATCTCTGCTCTTTTTTGTTGTAATGGTGCTTCAAGACCTTTAGCACATATTTTCTCTCTTCCATAAGGGTAAGTATCAATTCCTGATTCTTTCATGATATCAGACAGACCAGTTTGTGGTGTAAAACAGTTTTTGATAAATGGATATTCTTGGAATGTTGCCTTAGCTGTATCATTTGTCTGAATATTGTAACAGTTAGAATGATCACTTCTTGAGGGGTATATCCATTGTTCTTCAAGGTCTAATCCAGTAAATCCATGATAAAGTTTATCTATTTTTTGTTGTGGTGTGAGATTACTATTATGCAAGTATTGCTTTTCCACTGCTGACACAGATTCACCACTATAAAAGGCTTGCTGAGAGATAGCTATATCTATTGGCCTTTTGGTTTCTGTCAAGAGATCATGGTGATCTACAAATCTGCTTGTGTTCATTGGCCAAACTGACTTTAAATTGGTCGAGCAGGTCCCTTCAGCAAAATATGGCTGTGACTTATCTTGTTCTTCCAGAATGTTAGACACAAGTCCATATAAGTCTGTTTCACTGCCATAGTCATTTCTTTCGGTTTGAATCCTGTTCTTTACATTGATCTGGGAATTAGAAGATTGTTTAATATCATCTCCATAAGTAGACCATGGTACATAGAAAAGTGAAGAATCTATAGAACTTGCATATTCTGTGGATGAAGAAAGTGGAGTGTAGGTCTGCCTTAGGTCTATATTGTCTTCATTCTGCGATTTGTAGCAATCATAGAAGGAAGTGGAGCCAGTCAACATCACGCTGTTGAATACATCGGATAATCTGCTGCTGGTGTCGACAGTGGGGTTCCAGCAGCGATTCGCACCTCCACGGAACGCTACTTTAGGCTCCATGGGGACCCCCAGCCCCTCCAGGACTAGGTACGGCTCCTGGGGTACCGGGTGAGGGAGGGCGTCGAGGCCCAGCTCCCTCAGCCTGCACCCCACCACTGCCGCCCCGGGCGCTGCCTGGAGCCGGTCTGTGGGGGGTCCGGAGCCGGGAGGGTGGGGCGGGGAAGAGGCCGTTACATTGTCTCCATTTTTTTTCTTTGCTGTCTGACTTTAAAAGTGCTTTGAAGGATCATTTCGCAAATCAATCTTGTTTTAAAATGAATTTGAATTCTGTTTTGTAAATGAGTCTTCTATTCATTTTTGTTGCAACTAGTTTAAAATCAGTTGTGAATCTTTAATTAAAAGTAGTCACTGGATAAAACACCAAACTTAAAATTTTGAAGCCTTTAGCAAAATGGGATTATTGAAAACAGATTTGCTTAAATGACTGCCATTTTTACCACCACAAATGTGAAAAAGGAAGTAAACAAATTAAACAAGAGTTCAAATACTGTACACAGCTTAATTTTGAAATTTTATAATTGTTTCTTGTGTTTTCTCAACTTGTGAGAAAGCTTTTTGCCAAGTTTTGACTTTTAACAATAAATTTACATTCTGCACTGAAGGAGAAATGAACTGGAAAAGGCCTATTTTTTGTTTTTTGCAGCATCGCTATTAAGTTTAATAAAACGTTTGAGATAATCAGAAATAGAAATTATTTTATGGGTTTGCTTAAAATGATAATCACAATAAAATAATGATGAAAATATTTGGAATGAATATTTAAATATTTCAATGCAAAAAAATCCCATAATGAATAGCTGTCACATAGCAGAATTTTCTTTGCTTGTCAGTCACCTTACCACATGTAGAAAAGGTTATTTTTTTTTTCAATAAAATATGGGCTGTAGCAGAGTCTACTGAAGGCATCAATAATTCAGATTTGCTAACGGTAATGTAAACTTGAAGAATATGACAACTGTCTGAATTGATTAAAAATAATAACAACATATTTGCAACTGGATGCCCAGAAGACTGAAATATTTCCAATTAGGTGAAAATTACCAATTCACAGATTCCACAAACTCAAAGATACTAAAGAAGTTTAAATAGAAAAAAAAAGCAGTCAAATTGTTGAAAACCAGTAATAAAGAATATCATCAAAGTAGCTAGAAGAAAATAAAGGTGTAATTCATAGATATAAATAATGTAGGAATGAGGCTGAATTCTAATCAAAGCATTGTATAAAGAAGATCATGCAATCACATCTTAAAAAGTGCTTAAGAAAATTCTCTCAACTTAAAGTTCTAAATCCAGTTAAAGAATTATTTTAAAATGAGAAGAAAATAAAGATATCTCTTGATCCATGGATCAAAGAAAAACACAAGGGAAATTTAAATTTATTTTGAAATAATTTTAAATATTCATATAAAAATGTGTACAAAAGGAAATTCATATCATTAAAAGTTTTCTTAGAATAAATAAAAGGGTTAAAATCAATGGCTTAATCTACTGCCTTAAAAAGCTAGAAAAAGAGAATATTAAGTCTAAAGTAGATGGCAAATAGGGAGGAAGAGAGAGCAGATATTAATGATCTAGAGAAATAACAGAGAAAATCCAAAAGGCCAAAAGTTGGTTCTTTGAAAAATTTAATAACATTCATAACTTTTAGCCATACTGATCAAAAGATAAAACAGATACAATACAAATTACCAATAACAAGAATTCCACAGGGACCATCACTAGAAACATTAAAATAATAAGGAAATAATCAGTTGACCACTTTGCTGAAAAATGGTTAGATTCCTTACAAGATAAAACATCAAAATTGACCAAAGAAGAAACAGAACATCTGAATGGACTTGTAACTTGTCAACAAAAGTGAATTTGAAATTAAAAACAAAAATTTTTTTTTTCCAGGAAAACTGCAGACCCAGAAGACTTCACTAGTGAATTCTATTAAACATTCAGGAAAAAATGAGAAAGAAATAACATCAACCATACATCATCTATTTTAGAAAATAGAGGAGGAGGAACACTTACCAGCGGATTTCCTGAGGGTAGCACAACCCTGATATGAAAATCTGAGAAAGACATTACAAAAAAGGGAAGTGTAGACTAATAGCCCTCACAAGCACAGGGAAAAAAATAAAATTAAAAATACTAGCAATATACGAAAATAATGATATGCTATGACCAAATGTGGGTCATACTAGTCATGTGAGGTTTGTGTAATTTTTTAAAACCACTTACCACAAATTACTGTATTAACAGAATAAGAAAGAAATGATATGACCATATTAATAGATGGACAACAAGTATTTGACAAACTCATCCATGGTATAACATCTACACAAATTGGGAGCATAAAGGAGTTTCTTCAATCTGATAGAAGACCTTTATGAAAACTTCCTGATACTCATCATAAGGATAAAAAAGTGAACATGTTCCCTAGAAAGTTGGGAGCAAGGCAATTTTTTCTCAGCTTTTTTATTTTTTATAAAATTTTATTGGATATTTTAGCCAGTGCATTAAGCAAGTGAGAAAAAAGAGAGAAATATTATAAAGAATTAAATAAAATTATCTTTATAAGCCATTACATAATTGTGTAGATAAAAACTACTAAAGAAACTATACAAAAATCTACAAGAGCTAATAAATGAACAGGACAAGATTACACAATGTATTGCATAACAAAATCAATTATATTTTAAGTACTAATTAAAAAGTCTTGAAAAAGAATTTTAAATTAATATTATTTACAATGACAAATATTAAAAATACTTAGGAGTAAATCTACTGAAAACTACAAGATATTCTTGAATGAAATTAAAGACAACATTAAAGTGGAGAAATAAATTATGGTCGTGGACTAGAAGACCTAATATTGCTAAGATATGTATTTTCCCCAAACAGGCATGTAAGTCATCATAACCCAGTGGAGATCCCAGAGGCATTTTTAAGAAATTGACAAATGACTCTCTAAAACTAACATGTAAATTCAAAGAACCTAGAGTAGCCAAAACAAGTTGGAAAAGAAAAATGCTGGATATTTACACACTCAACTTTAAAAATTAATAAAAACGTTTCAATAATCAAAGGCAGTGTGGTATTACCCTTAGTGTAGACAAGCAGATCAATGGCACAGAAATAAAGCCACATACAAACTGTCTATGATTTTTTAACATAGGTGCAAAGTTAATCTTATGCTAAGGATTGTCTTGACAAATGAGGCTGGGACAGCTAGGCAGCTATTCTGGGAAGAAAATGAACCCCTATCCATATCTCCTAACAAAGAGAAGTGTCTGGATCATAGACCTAAATGTAAAATTTTAAATCTTAGCTTTGAGAAGATGATTTTTTTTTGTAGTCTTGAAGTCGTCATAGATTTCTTAGGACACAGAAATCACTAGCCATGAAAAGAATGATAAATTGGATTTATAAACTTTAAAAACTTCTGTTCATCAAAATATACCATTAAAATGCATAGAAAAGCCTCCAATTGGGAGAATAAATAATAAGCTGCATTTTCACAATGTAATGCATGTAAAAAGTACAATATTATTTATATTCCATTTATAGTATGAACAATTTATGAAATACTTGAATTCCAGGAATAAATTTCTAATCTTATACTTGATTGTAGACACTATAATAAAGATGACAACACTTTCTAATTTAGTAAATATATTTTAATGGAAGACTAATTAATTTTTCTCAGGATATGTTCAATAACAATTTAAAGTAGGATTTCCAAGTCAAGGAAACATGCCTTTGTTAAAAGTTTATTTGACTATTCTTAATAGTGCATTTTTTTTATCAGATTGGATTGAGGCAATTCTATAACTGGTCTTTGATTTGTCAGTGGATATTCAAACAAACTTTCAAAAAAAGGTTAAGAAGACTGGAATAAAAATTAGGCCATGAGCAGCCCCAAATACCATAACAAGAAACATAATCTTGAAAAATGTCCTGAAGATGTATGCTTTAGCTGTAGCTAAAACACACACTCCTATTATTGTTGAAATTGCACTTTGTAACACTGGATAGCCTAGCAGATATAATGCCTCAATTGATTTTTGGTTTACTGAAGTCTTAGTACTGGAAACAAATGCATAAGATATGTGTGCAGAAAAATCAAAAGAAAATCCTATACAAATGACAAGATTAATCATGGATATGGAATCAAGATTGATATTCCAAAATGCCATGAAACCTGTTACGCCCACAATCACAGAAGCAATAGCAAAAGTTACCCACAAGGAACACATTGGATGAGGAATTAACAATAAAGAAACAATGAACATAGCTGTCGACGCAACCATGATATTCCGCACAGTGTTTTCTATGATTGCAGCATACTGATCAAAATATATGAACGCCTGGTTATACACCATTAGAGGAATCTCACACTTTTCGGCTGTTTCTCGTAATTGGAGTAACATTATTTTCTTATTGGTTGAGGAAGAAACACCCATAGTCTGAATGAAGGCCCGGGAGGAAATGATTTCATTTGATGTAATATTAATATCATATGTAAAAACTGGAAATTTACGTAAAAATTGAGACATACTATTCATAAAAGTATCCTTATCATTAGGCTCCTGTCCATTTCTTTTCATATAATCCATATATGTGTGTAACCAAAACTCTGTAAGATTTCTATCTACATAGTCATTTTCTTTAAAATTTTCTATACATTTTTCCAATTTTTCCCTTACATCTTCATCCCAGTAGTTAATACTTTCAGTAATAATAATCATAACCCTGGGACCATAATCCGAAAAATAATCTTCCTCTACATTAAAATATGGTGTAATGTAGGAATCATCACTTGCTAGATTTCGGAGGTCTAAACCTTCCTGCACTTGGAAACACCCATATATGCTGCTTATGATGTACAAAATGTATATCACCACCACAAAAAACTTGGACATGGTTCTTGTGAGTATAGGACCAAAATAGTCTCTAAAGAACAAATTCATTGGATGGATATCAGTTCCTTGTTCATCTGGGACAGAAGAAAATGGGAGACAGCAGGCCTTTTTTAATGAGGAATATTTCTGATCTGGCTTTTTCAACCAGCGTAGGCAGAGTATTTCTCTTTTACCATCCAGGGCCATAAATGCTCCAAAACAGGTGATGTTATAAAAATAACAAAAGAGCAGGGTTGTTCCTGTATAGATGCAAAAGTATTGTACGGACCTGAAAGAACTCATAATCCCTGTATAGAAGGCCAGGACATTGGTGATGGTGGTGATTGTAATGGACACTGCCACCTTTCCATAGACACTGGCCATCCGCTCTTTTATGCTATCCATAAGACTGGTCTTCTGCCAGGCAGAAATCATGATAAACATATCATCAACCCCAACACCTGTTAGAAAAAAAAAAGAAACAGAATCTTCGTACATATTAAATAAATCAAAAATTAAAAAGATCAACCTTTTCCTTTTTCAAGGTCTTATTTATCTTGCCCATTCTCTGCTTAAACACTAACTTTTCTATGATGCTTTCTCAAGTTGCCTCTGAATACACAACAGAATTCACCACTCCATTCTCTGTATTAAGTCTTTGTTTTGCACACGCCCCCTATTATTTGCACATAGCATGGTATACACTGGTCCTAGCCTTCACTTAAGGTAATTGAGTGATGAGATCAGGAAACCTAGCTGATTGAGTGTTAGCTGAAGTAGCACCAGCAATGTATCTTTGATTTCACTAGATTGCATAGAAGATCATTTTCTTTTGTAAGCCATTTTACACTAACATACAAATACAACCAGCCAACATTCTGTTACTTAAAATATAAGCTGGATATATGTGTTGTACAGTTAACATCAGGCTATTTATGTGGTAAATTTGAATGGTATCTCATACTCTACAGACATAGACCCAGAAATCTAGACAAATGCAATTTCCTGCTAGTCTATTTTGGACATCTGAAATGCTAATAATTTCACTTGCTAAGGATAAGACATCATCTCACTGCTCCTAAGGCCAGTGCTCCTGAGATCAGAAATATGTACCACAGTAAACCTTAAGAATCCTTTATTTATCAACGAGTTCCTTTCCACAAAGACAATTCATGATTGGCCTGAAATAGAACAGAAGAATGTTCAAGGATTCTGAAGTCATCAATAAAGACTGGGAAAAGATTACCAAAAAAAGGGAACTAGAAAGGGTAACATAAGCATGTTGCAGATAAATTGCACCTCCCTCAAACTTTCTACTAAAGTTCACACTACTTTCAGTCTTGTGAGCCTTTGCTTCCATGGGTATTGATATAACATCAGTACTTGGGACTGAAGTGTAGATTTTAATTTCAATTTATTTTTTTATGGACTACATGTTAAATTTGGGAGAATACTGGGAATTGCAACCTGCCTCCAGTTTAGATGTTCCCTGGGTATGATCAAGATAGGATGATCCAAATGAGCACAAAGCTATGTAGTCTATCATAACCTGCACTGTGGCACCCTTATTGTCACCAGCTTTGAGAATTCCAGTTGTGTTCAGTTAGACAAAAAAGGGAACAATTACAAGCACTAAGGACCAAGAATGAACTCATTGATATGTTAGGTATTTAAAAACTAATTTTATTACTTACAGAATCTTGTTCAGAAATTGTCCTCACACATTTCTTGTTTAAATTGCTGAAATCATATATGTGTGTGCACATACACAATTCTATATATACAGAGACAGTATAAAAATGGATTACACTAAATCAGATAATGCACCTTAACTATAGATACTTATGGCTCCAGAATACACGGAGTGATTGAGTGTGTACAGAGGTGTTCCTTGAAGAGCCACCATAAACTGACACCCTTTGGACAGCACATCCACCACCTCCTCCAGAAAACCAAAAAATTATTTTGTCCAAGTTGCTTACTTTCCAAATTTTAAATACTTTTGATTTCTCATGCTTACTATAAAATAAATTCTGAAGATACCATGCAGGTGACAAAAACAATGGAAAACAATTATGTAATTCCACACTTCAGAGATAGCATCCGTTTAGAATTTGTCTTATGTAAGTATGCATACAACTATCTCTCCGTTTCAAGCAATCCTGCTTTATAACCAGAAATTTTCATTTAACTTACATAATCTACCTTTTCAAAAAGACTGAATATAATTCAAGTATTTCAGTATGGTATGTTCAACTTGACAAATCCCATATTGATATGGGATTGGGTTGTTTCTGATATTTTCTTATTCTAAATCATACCAAAATGAACATACATCTACTTTTATTTACTTGTCTATTCATTAGAACAAATTCCTAGAAATCAAAATGGTAGGTCAAAGATGCTCCCTTTTTAAATCTTTTGATTTGTTGCAAACTTGGACCAAAAAAAAAAATTTAAAAGTGTCAGTTTACATTTTCCCACAGAAGAATATGAGGGTGTTCATTTGCATACAACCTTCCCCAAATCTTCAATCTTGCTAGAACTGATTATTCCAATAAGAAAATAAGCTGTATCACTTTTAGTCTAATTTGTTTTCCTTGATTCATCCAGAAGTCAAGGGTTTTGTTTTTTCTTATATTTGCAGGTGTGTGTGTGTGTGTGTGTGTATGTGTGTGTGTGTGTGTGTGTGAGAGAGAGAGAGAGAGAGAGAGAGAGAGGGAGGGAGGAGAGGGGGGGTAGAGAGAAAGAGAGAGAGGGAGGGAGAAGAAAAGTTGCTGTTCATGTCCCCTGTCTATTTGTCTATTTGGGGTACTAGATTTTCGCAATTCTAATGATACATGATTCAATATGATTTTCCTGTTTCCTGACACTTCATTTTGGATCTGTGCAGCAAGCTAAATACAATTCCTTCCCTTATCTATCCCACCCCCCTATATACACAATGTGTAGCCTCACATTTTTTTTACTCACCTAGAATAAGAAATGGTGAATTTGCAACTATGATCACAAATGGCACCCCAATGTACAACATCAGGCCAAAGCCGCTCACCACTGCAAAGGCAGCAGACACCACTCCAAAGATTGCAACCCACATTTTGTTTCGTACACAGTCAAACCTGTAAATTTGGAGGGAAAAATCATGGAATTTGCGGTGGTAGCTTCCATACTGAAATTCCATCAATTGATAACATTCTTGAATTGGACAACAAGTCAGAAACCTCTGGGGCAATAATTTCCACAGTTGTCTGCAGAATTCCTTTAAATTCCTAGGTACTATCCCAGACCAAATGACAGAAAAAGGGGTAGAGGACAGAAACATTGGAAATCTCTAATTTCACCAAACTCTCCTGGATGATTTTTAGGTAGCAAGCCAAACATTAATACACATACTAACATTTCAAAATTTCAAAGATTCAAATCACTGGGCTGAGGATGTGGCTCAAGCGGTAGCGCGCTCGCCTGGCATGCATGCGGCCCGGGTTCGATCCTCAGCACCACATACAAACAAAGATGTTGTGTCCACCGAAAACTAAAAAATAAATATTAAAAAATCTCTCTCTCTCTCTCTCTCTCTCTCTCTCTCTCTCTCTCTCTCTCTCTCTCTCTCTCTCCCCTCTCTATCTTTAAAAAAAAAAAAAGATTCAAATCACTGAAGATGGTTAACTCCACTCGGATCTTCAGTAGGGTGTGAATGGACTATAATTATTAACGGGAGGATGGAAGGTATCTTTTTTTTTGTCCTATAACAAAATACCACAGTCTGGGTAATTTGTAAAGAAAAGAGGTTCATTTAGCTCAGTTTTGGATATCTAAGAGCATGATGGCATACTGCAAGGCTCCCCTCACCGTGTATAATAACATGGTGGATGGTGTCATAGTGGGAATAAATGTAAGAGGGAATGTATAGTATACATGGCAAGACAGGAAAACAGATAGATTCAGGAGTTAAGCTTGCTCTTTTTAAAATAACTTGCTCTCAGGAACTAATTGGGGTCCAATGAGAACTACATTAATCCCTTCTGAGGGTGGTATCCACAATCACCTAAATACTTTCCACTAGACCCCACTTCTTTTATCTATCTGTCTATCTACCTATCAATCAATCAGTATCTATTTTGTTGTACTGGGGACTGAACCGAAGACTTTTACATGCTAGGTAAGTCCTCTACCACTGAGCTACAATCCAGTGCTTTTTTATTTTTATTTTCTGGGGATAGGGTCTCACTAAGTTGCCCAGACTGGCCTCAAACTTGTGATTCTTTTATCTCAGCCTCCCAAATGGATGGGATTATAGATGTGCATGACTGTGGCTAAGCCCCACTTCTTAAAGGTCTTACCACCTCTTAACACTGCCATATTGGGACCAACCTTACAGTACATGAACCTTTAGAGGAACAAACTCAAATCATATCCAAACTATGGCAGAGGGCAGAATACATATCCATTTATGTTTTCACTCACCCCTGAACTCGAGGAAGCCATAACACAATAGCTCCTGCATTTCAAAACTAGTTCAGTGCATATTGTGGTTAACAAAATGTATGAAGGCATTGTTTTAAATCATTTTCAGGATTCTCCTCTATTGGTGAGGAGGGGTCTGTGGAAAGATTTCTATTAATTTACAGAAAAAGGGTTAAAACATACCATATTTTGAATGTCTCAACCAGTAACTATTTCCTTGTCAGACCAGCAGAAGTAAGGATACGTACAAGACATTTTAAAGTACGATTCAGGAGTGTTAGAATGTTAAGCTTCCGGGAACCCAATTCTGTAAATTCTAATTCAGTATCATTATAGTGAAGCTGCAGAATCTTTGTGTCTAAAGGTATGATTCCAAAGCACAGGCAGATTTGTGCATAAAAATTGGCAGCAAAATAGCCAATTTTTTGAATTTCTTGTTTATTTAGTAGGGATAGTCTAAATTAGAATTTATTACAAAATTTAGAAAATCATGTTTATGCTTGGCAAGGCATCTACATCTCACTTGAAAGGTAGTGGTATTTATAATGAGTTAAAAAAGAACACAGAGTATTGAGAAGGGTTGTCAGGTTTTATCAAAAGTTGACCTAATATTTGGTGTAGGTTTTTGTCATTTCCAGAAAATTACAAAATGTTGAAATACCCTGGAAGCGCAATGTTCCACTACCTGTTATGGTGTGAACTCTAATGAAGTTCAATTTGGATCATAAACTTTTGAAAAAGTCTTATTATTCAAGTGACTTGTTCTTATGTGAGCACTTTGTTAAACACTTAAAAGTTGGAAGATAATAAATACAGAACCCTAAAATGTGTTTGAATAAGGGTCTGTCATCAGGTAAATGCACATATGCAAGGTATAACCTTCATGTATGTGTGTCAAGACAGGCAGATTGGAATATGACCTATGGACTATCTAGGAGACTCCATTCAGAACACAGATAAGAGACCCTCAGTGATCCAAAAGGAAAGGAAACAAGACATGTTCAAGGAAATTACAGAAGCATTCACAGAAGGATCATTTTTTTTTTATTCAAGTTCAGAGAAAGCATATATTAGACCATCAGGAAGCTCTCATGTCCTCAGAATTTTCTCATTCCATTTCCTCTACTCTTTGAGCATGTTCCAACTCACAACCCAGGTGAGCAAGACAGAGAAAAAGAAAAGTGGTTGGGGAGGGCTGGCAAGTCCCTTTTCCCCATTAAGGGCAATCTCATGTAGTAAGCTCCAGTCAGTAGAGGTGGAAAAACCTTAGCTTCAAATTAAGTTATCACTTGTGTTTATTACATTGATGTGGATATTTTAATTCTGACTGGAGGGCTTTGTCTTACCTAAAAATTACCACAAAAGTCACAGAGCCAGCTTGAGTTTTCATAGGGAAGAGGAAGAATTTGGTTTACCTACAAAACTTAAAGGGAGACAGGGAGACAAATGTAAAGTTGATTTATGCTTATATTTCATGAGTCCTGTGTGTTCCAGATATTGTTTCCACAAGCATGGAAAGTGTTCAAAGAGGGATATAAACCTGCATTTATATCTGCATTGCTGTCCACAATCATTTGTAAAGATAAGCAAATGTCCAGATAAATCTATACAGTTAAATAATATGATTTGTTCCTAGTCCTACCTACACATGAGAAACAGTAAATTTTTAAAATATAAATTGTCAGATTAAAACCTGAGATATTTTGATTCAGTAAGGTAAGGTCAAATTTAATTGTGAGAAGATCTGGATTAACTCTCTTTGGGGATATGAGAATAACTGGGATCATTCTGTGAGGTTCCTTCTAAAAATTCTAATGTTTGCTGCTATTTCTCAAATTTTAGCTTTCTAATCACAAGAAGTCAAATCATGTCCAATCCAACTTTTAAATGTTTAACAAAGTGCTCACGTAAGAACAATGGAACTACACTTGATCTTAGCCAAAAGGCCACAAGAGTTAATAACTAGAATCAACAAATGGGACTTACTCAAACTAAAAAGTTTTTTCTCAGCAAAAGAAACAATAAGAGAGGTAAATAGGGAGCCTACATCCTGGGAACAAATCTTTACTCCTCACACTTCAGATAGAGCTCTAATATCCAGAGTATACAAAGAACTCAAAAAATTAGACAATAAGATAACAAATAACCCAATCAACAAATGGGCCAAGGACCTGAACAGACACTTCTCAGAGGAGGACATACAATCAATCAACAAGTACATGAAAAAATGCTCACCATCTCTAGCAGTCAGAGAAATGCAAATCAAAACCACCCTAAGATACCATCTCACTCCAGTAAGATTGGCAGCCATTATGAAGTCAAACAACAACAAGTGCTGCCGAGGATGTGGGGAAAAGGGTACACTTGTACATTGCTGGTGGGACTGCAAATTGGTGCAGCCAATTTGGAAAGCAGTATGGAGATTTCTTGGAAAGCTGGGAATGGAGCCACCATTTGACCCAGCTATTCCCCTTCTCGGTCTATTCCCTAAAGACCTAAAAAGAGCATGCTACAGGGACACTGCTACATCGATGTTCATAGCAGCACAATTCACAATAGCAAGACTGTGGAACCAACCTAGATGCCCTTCAGTAGGCGAATGGATAAACAAAATGTGGCATTTATACACAATGGAGTATTACTCTGCATTAAAAAATGACAAAACCATAGAATTTGCAGGGAAATGGATGGCATTAGAGCAGATTATGCTAAGTGAAGCTAGCCAATCCCTAAAAAACAAATGCCAAATGTCTTCTTTGATATAAGGAGAGTAACTAAGAACAGAGTAGGGTCGAAGAGCATGAGAAGAAGATTAACATTAAACTGGGATGAGAGGTGGGAGGGAAAGGGAGAGAGAAGGGAAATTGCATGGCAATTGAAGGAGACCCTCAGGGTTATACAAAATTTCATACAAGAGGAAGTGAGGGGAAAGGGGAAAATAATACAAGGGGGAGAAATGAATGACAGTAGAGGGGGTAGAGAGAGAAGTGGGGAGGGGAGGGGAGGGGAGGGGGGATAGTAGAGGATAGTAAAGGCAGCAGAATACAACAGACACTAGTATGGCAATATGTAAATCAATGGATGTGTAACTGATGTGATGCTGCAATCTGTATATGGGGTAAAAATGGGAGCTCATAACCCACTTGAATCAAATTGTGAAATATGATATATCAAGAACTATGTAATGTTTTGAACAGCCAACAATAAAAAATTAAAAAAAAAAGAACTATGTAATGTTTTGAACACCCAACAATAAAAAAAATTTAAAAAAAGAACAATGGAACTACTCAAGTCAATTGAAGAAGAGCTTTGTTTTTATGTAGTAAAAATTATTATTTCAAACTTACAGTAGAAACAGGACTTGCTTCTTGGTACTACACAGCTATCTGCCTTTCAAATTAAGTTATTAGTCATAACTGATGCAATACATAAGGTAGGAAAGATACACTATATCAACAAAAACTGGCTACAATTTTCTTCTATTCCACTATTGCTGAAGGACAAAATTTCAAAAGTCATCAGGCTTAAAAACTAAGAGTTTAGCATTAGACATCAGCAAAAGCGTAGAGAAGGAAGCACTCATCTCCTCACAGAAACATCAAAAAATAAGCAGAAGCTGTTAGAACCAATTTTGTGAATTCTGGAAAAACAGTCA